CCGGAACCAGTTGATTCATCATTAACTTCAACGTTCCTTCTCCTCCTCTTCCTCTTCCTCTTTCCCCTCTCCATTCTTTTTCTTGCTTTTATCAACCTTAATGACTCCCTTTTTTGCTGCATTAGGGTTCCCTTCAGTTCAGTAGGCAGCGATGTCTGTTTTGTATTTTTCCTTCAGCTTCGTAGCTTTCTTTTCGGCTGCTTGTCATCTGGAGCAGTATTATTCCACGTATTTCCGAGTTTCTGTACAGGATCACCAATGAACACGCCAGGATGATCTCTTTTGATTTTTGGACTACCTCAGAACAGAGTGAGAAGGCTGGAGGAGGCCTCTGGAATACACTGGGATTTTTGAATGTATTTTTTGTTTCCCCTTTAGGAGGGATATATTTTCACTTCTCTTTCACAATGGGACATGTCCATCTTTACCAGGTCTTCAAATTTTCCCTCCTATTTAGCAGATATGGTCTTCCACCCCTCTGAGCACTTCTTAGCTCTGAGAAGTTGATGGAAGTATCTTGATGCTTCTTCTTCTTGTACTCCTCCTAGCAAGCTTGCACAAAACATGCACATGATGACATTTTGCTCCTAGAATCTTCGTTGCCCATGTTTACTTGTATTTCCCTCCGCGAGGCAGAGTCCCCCAGTGCCTGTCCATCCCTCACTCACTCAGCACTATCCTTATGGAGCTTGATATCTTGCAATGGCCCACACCTTTATCTTCGCGTAACAGCATAGTCTGGGTCTGGGTCTCACTAACTTAAAGAATGAAATCAAAGACAGAGGAGCAAGACAGGAGAAATGTCTATTACTAAGAGACAGATGGCTTCCACTAGTCGGGAGGGGACCCCAAAATAGGTTACTACAGGCTCCCTTTGTCAAAGAGTTTTCAAACCACTCCAAGTCAAATAAGGTTAACCCATTGGGCTTAAACTAGAAATAGACCTATGGAGAGTAGAGGCACATAGCAAGCTTACGGCTACAGGTGTGTCTTGGCTTCTGTCCTACCTAAGTAGTTTATTAAAAAATGAGAAGGAAAACACATTTTCCAGAAAGGCAGGAGCAGAAGTTGTTGTAGTGGCCACCCATGGCCCTGCCTGTTACCTCACTTGCCACATTCTTGGATTTAACTGTCCTCTTTGTCCTTGCTAACGCTTGACCTTAGGCTCCTGCTTCTCTGACCAAGCCTGACTCTGTCTCGGGCCCAGTGACTCCCTTGCTGCCAGCTACCTTCTATCTAACTTGCTTGTCTGTAGTATTTGGGTCTATTTCTATAGTAATATGACCTATTTCTTTAGATCACATTACTAGAAATAGAATTACATGTCTTATTTACTTTTCTCATTACTGAGACAAAATACCCCACTCTTAAAGGATTAGAGGTTGATTTGGCCTCACAGTCTGTAGAGGTTTCAATCAGCTGGCCCCAACACAGGGTGGCATGGCCAGGGGGTATTGCAGAGTGGGCAGGAGGCATCAAAAGACAAGCAGCTACAAGCAAACACTGCAGCAGCCGTCTTTCTGTCCCTTGTATTCCTTCCGGGGTACCCACCCCCAGTGTGGGCAGCACTCACACCCAGGGTGGGCACCCTTAACCCCTGCATCACGTCCTTACTCCAAGTGTCACACACCCGAGATCCACCCACCTCCTAAAAGCCCCCCATGACAGCACAAGGCTTTGGGGGGACATCTACATACAAACCATAACACTACATTAGATGAAGTGCATGGTTCTTTTAAATCTTGGTGTAGCGTGACCTCCAAATTGTTTTACAAAATATGTTCCAAAAAGGAATTTATGAAAATGAACATTTCTCCAAACTTATGCCATGCTGGGTGTCATTTTTCATTTTGATCTTTGCTTACTATGAAGGCCAAAATGTGTATTTAAACACCACATCTTTTATTTGTAGTGAATGGACTATTTTCACGTATTTATTCCTCATTTGCATTTCCCCTTTTCTTGCTTGCTTTTCATAGATCATTTTTATGGGCCATATAAATGTGTAAGAGATAATTAAATGAAGCCAATAAACCACTGCTTTCATATACTTAACAAATGTGTTTTCCAAGTGTGTTTTTACTTGATTTTTTCTGAGAGTAAGGTTTTAAACGTTTCTAGAATAAAATATTTTATTCTAGAATAAAATTTAGCATTCATTTCTTTTGTGACTGCCACCTTTGATCCCTACCAGAGATTAAATAGAAAATTCTTTAATTTTTTTCTATATACTTGATGGTTTGTTGGTAAAATGTTAAATTGAGTCTATATGAAATTTGTGTGTGAGGATGTGTATTACTGGAGATACACAGTTTTAGTTACCTAACATAATTTTTGGACTATCTTCTTCTCTTGCTTTGACCATCTTTTACTGGGAAATTTCACCTTATCATACTCTAAATTCTTATGAACTCTTGGGTATGTACCTGTTCATCTAAAGAATATACGCAAGCTTTATGTCCAATAGAAAATACTATTAATTTTTCAATTAAAATGTGCTAGTCACTGTATTAGGGTTTTTGTTCTTCTGGATGAAATTTAGATAATATTCTGTTTAAAAAAAACCCACATCATTCAACTTATTGTGATTTGAGTTGAAATTTTTGTTTAAAAATATTGATCCTTCTCATCTAGAAAAGAGTGTCTACCTGTTTGTAGCTTTGATGGCACACAGTAGACTATTATAGTTTGTGCTGTGAGATTTGGCCCAATTCTTGTGAACTTAATCATAGATACTGAATAGATACTCTGGATGGAACTCGTGACTAATAAGTTATCTTATTATCATTGACTGAATAAACTACTGACATAAAAGTATACTGATCTGTTCATCATCAAAGTTAATATTTCCCAAAAGTGGAACAAACTGACGTCATGTGTGTGAAACTAATCAGATATGATTTATTGAGAATATGGCATCTCTTACGCAGCATCACACCAAGAAATTTTTCAGTTGAGTCAAAGTATGAGAGAACAATCAGATCAAATGAAGGCACATTCTTCAAAGCAACTGGGGCCTTCTTCAATGTCATCAAATAAAGAAAAAGATTGATAAGATAAGTAGACTAAAGGAGTCTAAATGATAAGTCAATTGGATGTTACAAGAGACCCCGAATCAGAAAAATATGTTATAAAGAATATTATTGGGACAATGGGTGAAATTTGAACATAGCCCAGTGTGACCTTTAATTGTGCAGTCTCAGTGTGGCTAGAGTGAGAAACACCTAGCAGATCAGTAGAGGTCTAGTGTAGACTGGCATACAGGCTGATAAACTGAGGTGAAAGACCCACATGGGTTGTGGGTGTTGCCAACGAATAAGCATGGAATTAAAAAGGGAAAGAAGAAAGTTCGTCAGTTTTGAAGAGCTCCAGTCTGCTTGAGCAGCTGTATTTGCTGCCATTGACTTTGGACATTGGTTTCTTTAGCCTTCAAATACAGATTTGTGCCAGGAACTCTTCAGTGAGCATCCAGGCCTTTGGCCTTGGACTGGCACTGCATCCTTGATCTCTCTTGTTCTGTGGCTTCCCAGTTCTTGTGCTGAGCAGCTACTGGATTCTCTGACTTCTTCAGAAGTCAGAGGGTGGATTCTCCCATTTCTGATCCTGTAAGTCTATCCAGCAGTCTCTATAATTACACATGTATTTCCTGTTGATTCTATTGCTCCAAAGAACCCTAACAAATACATCCAGTGTTACACAATAATAATATATCAGAGTTCAATTTCTTGGATTTGATAATTGTGTGGAGGTTATTAAAAAAAAGAATTTAAAAAGCAGCATGCTTGTAGTCCCAGATGTTCAAGGCAAGCCTGGGAAATTCAGTGAGACCCCATCTCAAAACAAGACAAACACTGCCCATGTTCTTAGGACATGTATGATAAAGTGTCAGGAGTTCAGTTCACGTCTGCAGCTTGTCCTCAAAGGGAGGAAAAGGATGAGATGAGATAGTACACATGGCACAACAGTCACAACTGATGAATGCAAGTAGTTTACAGGTGTTCAGTCAGAGTGAGTCAATCTTGCAACTCTTCTGTAAATTTGAAATTTGTCAGGGTAAAACAGATAAGAAAACTATTAATCATGTGTTCACTGGAAAGACCAAAATAACACATTAAGATTTTTTTTTTTGAGACAGGCTCTCACTCTACAGTTCAGGCTGATCTTGGGCTCACTTTGTAGAACAGACTGGCCTTGAACTTTCAACAATCCTCCTGCCTCAGCCTCCTGAGTAATGGAATGACAGCGTGAGCCCTCATGCCTGGTTTATTCTTTTTTAACATATTAAGCTTTTAGGGGCCCATTTCAATGAAAGTAGCATCTAACAATGACCATAGGACATCAGGAGAGGCAATCATGATCTCCTTCCTTTATGATTTATGTATACTTTTTGTTCTAGCTATAGTTTTAGTATATTACTTTGGAAATCCACCTTTGTGTGGAGGTAACTATTTGCATTTGAAGAAGAAAAGTTGCTGGTCGTTGTATTAATCTTTTACTATCATACATGGCTGGCTTGCTTGCTTTCTTCAGTAGTGGTGCTTGAACCCAGGGCCTTTGGACCGAGCTACTTTGTCATCTCATTTTTAAATTTCGAGACAGGGGTTTGCTAAGTTGCCCAGGTTGGGCTCAAACTTGCAGCCCTCCCCCTCAGCTTCCCAGTGCACACCACTCCCAGCTTTATTTGTTTTCATGTGAGCAGTCTACTACATCTTTCTTTTCTCCCTTTCTTACACTTTGCCTCTAAAGGGACCCCGGTCACAGGTAGAACGGAGTTCAAATTCCTAAGGAGTGGGCTAAAAGGAACCAGACAAAGAAATTACAAACAAAAACAGGGCTGATTTCAGAACATAAATAACCGAACTTGCCAATAAGAAGCCCTCAGACATCCCCCGAGGCCAGGAGCCCAGAGTCTCGCGGAAATCCGAGGCTGGAATCCGATGGATTATCCTAGGAGAGGGCCGGGAACTGGTCCCTCTTAGCTCCTTCTGCGCATGTGCAGTTCCTCCTCATTGTTCGGCTGCTCCTGTTGTCTCCAGCCTCGAGCGACTGATAATCCCATTGCCTTCGGTTCTAAGAGTCGCCCAGTGACCCGGCCTGGAGGAAGGGTGTGGTGTGCATTACAGGTGAGAGCTTGGTCTTGAGGGTGGGGATTGCTTGGCCGGGTTTGGGGCCGTTTTGTATCCACCGCTTGTAGAAGCAAAAACTTGAACGTATCCCAAGGGATGGAGCCCCTGTAACACTTGTTCCCGAATCTGCTCTCCCTTTGCCCTGCTAGTGAGAGACAAGGTTCGCTGCGGATCTACACAGCCTTGTTTCTCTAGGGATAAATGGGGTTTCTAGATAGGAATAAAGTGCTTTGGGAAAAGGCATTCAAATGTCTAACGAGTTTGCAGAAGCTCCTCACATTGACGTGTGCCCCAGCAGCCCTTCCCCAGAGCAAAGAATGTACAGGGGCAGGGAGTGGGGAGCCGGGAAGGGGCAGAGGAGAGGGGTTGGGAGCGCCGAGAACGTTTTCTTCTGAGCTGTATTGTTTGTCTCTAGGCTGGGGGCGGGGGGGGGGGGCGTCTGTAATACAAAGAGCTGATTTCAAATTCTACCTCTAAACCCCTAAGCCTCAGTTTCCTCATCTGTTAAAAGAAGTTATTGCTAAGTCCTGCCTCAGGCTTATTCTGAACTCAGCATGGGAAGCATCTGTAAAGCACTGGACAGAGGGTCCCACTTTCCCTCTGCACTTGGAAAGGTTACCCACTTTTCTCACCATTCTGTTCTTTAATACCAAACTGTCTGTCTCTCTGTTTGGCTGTAAAGACTCCCTGAATTCAATGTTACCAACCTCCGCCCTCCTTTGATAAGACAGGATCTCATTATGTAGTTCAGACCCGCCTTGAACTCACTGTGTAGTCCAGGCTTTTCTTGAACTCACAGTGATCCTCCTGCCTCAGCCTCCCAAGTGTTGGGATTACAGGCATGCACTGACACACCTGGCCCCAAACCCAAAATCGCAAAAACAGTAGAGCCCTCACCCAAATCCTGATTCAGTAAATCTGGGGAGGACCCAAAAATGCACTTTTCCACCTAGTTCCTGAGTGATCTTGATGCTGCTGGTCTGGAGACCTCACTGTGAGAACCACCATTAATAGAGGATGGTGATTATAGGAGAGACAGGAACCAGCTGAAGCTTTCAGTTATTTGAATCTATTTCTTCCAGTCACGTTCAAATGTCCTTGGATCACTAAACTTTCATAAGAAAAGAACAGGGGACCCGCATGCAAGAGTCCCACCCAGGGGGAATCCCTACTCCACCTTGAACCTTAGCTTCAGGACTGGGGTCCAAGAAAACAACTCAGACTATATTTGCACACTCTGAAGCCCTTCCTGACCCTCACACCCTTAGTAGCATCACCTGTCAGAGGGGTGCCCAGTACTGGCAGTCAGCAAGGGTGGGGCCACCTTCCAAAGGCAGGAGGTGAGCAAGAAGAGGGTAGTGAGCAAAAAAGAGGCTGCTTGGGAAGAGAACACCCCACAAGGGGATGGTGAGGAAGAATGCTGTCGCCTCCCAAAAGCTCCTCCTACACCTCAGGTCGCTGGTTCTTCATCTCAGGTTCTTTGGAACCCTCTAACCATGACTTCACCCAGTCTGCACTTCTGCTACACACTTGTTTTCAGGGATTTGTAATTCTACCTCACTTGAAAGGTGAAAATATTGTGCCTAAGAGAGTAATCAGCAAATCACTGCAACGCATGGCTTCTAGAATCAAACTGCCCAAGTTCAAAGCCCAGCCATGGCTTCGCCGTTCTTCGTCTCTATTTCTTCATCTATAAATTGAGACAGCAGTAGTACCTTCGCTTTATGGTAAGGATTAAGTGAAGTGATACATGTAAAGTACTTAGAACAGTCCCTGCTCCATACTTGCACTACGCAAGTACTGTGTGCGTCTCACAGTGTAATCTAGGTCTGCACTACCCATTTGGGGCCAAACTAAAGGTCACTGAGCCCCATGACTCTTGGCCTTGTCCACCATGTCTCAGGTAACTCTTTTAGGAACAACAAATCCTTTAGAGAACAAAAAAATCACAGGACAAAACCCTGTAAAAAAATAAAAGAAAGGAAAGGCTCCATTGAAAGCACACTTTTAGTGGTTGTCGTCAGTGGTTCCCTTACATTCTTTAACCTCAAGAAGTTTTTAAAAATGTGAAAAAGTAAATGAGCATGTCTTTACTGTTGTCAGATTTTACACCTTCACCTTATAATTCCAGTTATACTGGAATAACTCCTTGGGAAATATCGTAATTAATCCTTGTCATGGCCTCAGGATACAGGCCGTCACCCCACGCATCCTGCTACATCCACTCACCCTCCCATGCTGTCTCTCTTTCTACCTTCCTTTACAAGGTTATTATAAAGTAAATCCCAGATGTTAAAGTGCAGTACGTAGCATGTTTAATACCTGAAGGACTCTGTAGCCAGATCTCCTTGGTTGGACTTCATGCTGTTTACACAGTATTCACCTGCCATCGAATCAAAGGTTTTAAGTTGTGAGAAACTACAATTCACTTTCCCCAATGAAATGGTTGCTTCCCAGGAGCCCGGCGGTTACACAAAGGTCCCAAGAGTCCCCTTGCACATGCCCACCTGGCCCCGCTGAGGGTCTGAGTGACAGTCTCCTGCACGTGGTCATATGTCAGCGGGTCCTGCCAGCTCGGTGAGGATCTCCCACCCGGCCCGTGTTTCTCATTATTTCTCCACTCCTCCCCTCCCCTCATTCCTGTCTTCACAGCTCTCTACCCGTTCCCAGGAGCAGAAGAGAATGGACATATCCCAGGTGAGTTGCTTACCTTTCCCCAGGTTTTCAGGGAAATGTAAGAGGAACGGGGTTTTGCTGGCCACGCGGCCTTGTCAGCTGGCTTTCTTTATTTGTTAATGTCCTCACTTCTCCCCAGCATTGTTATTTGACTTTCTTTTTCTTTCTTCCAGTGAGTTTGAAAGTCTACCTTTTATTTTTATCCTATTGTCTGTTGCCCCAGACACACTAACAATATGCATAACAAATTTTTCTATTAATATCCGGGATTTTTTCATCTGTTGTGTCACTTAGACAGGATTCCTCCTACATCTCAGGTTTCATGAAAACATTTATGATTGTCCTTCCTTCACTGTTTTCTCTTTATATAACATACCTTACTCTCTATGTAATAAATCATAAATAATATCATTACCCTATGTTAACCATCACATCTTCTAGCCACTTGAACAATAATCATTTAAATTTGAATAGACATTTTCTAGTTATTTTTGCCATCCCAAGTTGAAAGATAGACTAGAAAAATTATAGCCACCGGTAGTAAAATTATAGGGTTGCCAGATAAGACTCAGGCACATACAAGGAAGTACGAGACACGGTTGTACTAGTAACTTATTTGCTGTTTGTCTGAAGTGCAAGTGAAAGTGGGAGCTTGTTTTTACTGTGATCATCAAAGCTGGCAGCCCCAACTCATCTGGAGGAGCAGTTGCTCTTGGTTTTCAGTGGCTGATTTTATGACCTCATTCCAGATGTTCGTTGGTGAACTGGAAGGACCTGCTCCAGCTCCCCATCAGCTACTGTAGCAGCGTTCGTCCCAGAGTTTCAGGAATGCTCAGGCTTAGGCTTATGCATAGGTTTTGTTTGAAATTGCAGATGCTTTACCTGTGTGCCCCCACACAGCAGTTCTTGTGGTCTGTTCACCATGATCGCCATTTGCCTTGTTGTTGTCTTCTTTCTGGGGTTCTTCTGAGCATGGATAGGGCTGTGGAGCACTGCACGGATTGCCTGTGCTTAGTTACCTGGACATCTCCACTTGTTTCATGGATGCATTAAGTATAACATGACAGGAGCCTCCCTCTCTCTGTCTCTCCCTTCCTCTCTCTCTCTCTCTCTCTCTCTCTCTCTCTCTCTCTCTCTCTCTCTCCTTCCCTGCTCCATTCATTCTTCTATCTGTTTTGTCCATCTCATACAGAATGTGGCACCAGTATGAAACCCACTGCTGCTCTTGTGGGTGACCTGAGAGTAACGCTCCGTTTTCCTTCACTGGGTAATCAACTGCTGGCAGAGTTAGTTCTAGTTCACTTCCCTGTGTTACTACACGGAGGAGCCGGTCATCCCTCACACCAGTCTGTTACCATCCTAACTTCTTCTTAAATCAGTTTCCCAGCCTTGACCATTGACATGTTGGCCCAGGTAATCATTGCAGCGATGACCTATTCAGTGCAGGATGTTTAGCAGCATCTCTGGCCTCTACCCATTAGATGCCCGTAGCAATTTTGCTCCCTCAGTTGTGACAGCTAAAAATGCCTCCAAACATTGCCAGACACCCTGGATGATTCTGGTTAAGAATCAGTTCTTTAAAACATTTTCCAAACTGCTTCTAGCACATGACTTTCAACATATAAGTCTAGTCTTATTATTTAGCCGTCCCCCTTGTCTACAGACGAGACCTCCTAAGAAGGGATGTGCTTCCTAGGGGAGTTCGTAGGGCAATCAATGGGTACACGGTGTTAGAACAGCCATCACATGTATTTTCTTTAATTCAAAACCTTTTTAAGAAAGTTGCTTAGCTATAATTTTGGTGAGAGACTTGAAAGTTGTACACATATATAATTTATAAATATAAAGAAAGATGCTAAGGAAGTTTTACTAATGGACCACCAAATACTTTGGAAGTCATTGGTCTACAGGAGAAAGGTCTAGATGTCACCCTGTGACCGCTTCACTGTTCTTTATTTCATCCAATCCCTAACCTCCCTCTTCTCTCACACCACACTGTAACTCCTTTAATGCAAAGTATTATTTTAATCTTGTCCATGCATCTGTTTATGCTGTTGTCCCATGGCCATACCAAGCTCACGGTACACACATAATCAAATCTTTAACTCTTGATCAAATATGACCTGAAAAAAAGGGAAATTTGCTTTCCTTCCTCTTATGACTTACATTAAAATACCCTCCAATGTTCAGAGCTTTTGGAAAGTGGATGGCTCGTGGGGGCTCTTTCCTCGGTGGTGGCTTTATCTAGTCATGAGTTCACGGCTGAATGTACTGTCAGGGGTGGGGTCTGGTTGGAGGTGGGTCACTGGGGATGTGACCCGGAAGGGTGTGCTAGTGCCCCTGGCTCCTCCCTTCTCTTTGTTTCCTGGCTGCCATGTTCAGACAGATTTCTTCTGCCATGCTTTTCCACCATGATGTTTGTGCCTTGAAACCAGTTGACTGAGGATTGAACCCCTGAACCATGAGCCAAATTAATCATTTCCTTCTTTAAATTGTGTCAGTTATTGTGTCTCAGTGACAAGAAAGCTGACTAGTTCATCCCCCTTCACACTGTCTTGACCACATATTTTTTCATGATTCCCTTAATTCACAGTTGCATATGTACAGTATATAGAAAGGATTCTTATCAAGCTATAAGATCCCTAAAAATAGGACCAATGTCTTAATTGCCTTAGTGTCCTCTGTAGCCAAAACAAATCTAGGCATGCAGAAAAAAAACAAATTTTTATGAATTAATCAATTAAGTTATAAGTAAATATAAAGGCCTTTTATTTCCATTATGGTTTCTGTTTCTCTCACAAATGATAGTGTGAAGGCAGATAACATTAGATAGCCTTTGTAACACTGGTAAGCTCTTAACAGAGAATATGGTAGGACTTAGTTCCTATGTGTGTTTCCCATGACCTTTGTCTTGAGCACTTCAGGCTGAGCAGGATTGGACTGTTGCAGGGGTCGTTGTTGTTTGAGGACGTGTCTGTGACCTTTACCCAAAAGGAGTGGCAGCTGCTGGATTCCAGTCAGAGGCGCCTGTACAGGGACATGATGCTGGAGAACTACAGACACCTGGAATCACTGGGTAAGCCCAGCTGCCTATGCAGTCCTGACAGCATGCATTTCCTATCTTGGGAAGCAGGTTATTACAGAGAGTAATGCGTTTTATGCTTGAGATTTTTAGTTCCAAGACTCCTTTAGGGTAATCGATAGAACATTGTATTCTCATTTCCCTGATGAAAGAGTCCTTCACCAAATGCCCATTCTCTCAGACTGAGCCACTGACCCAAACATTAACCAGGTTGACCAGGGGCCTCATACCCAGGGACGTAGCCACTGGCTTTGATGGGACATTGTAGGACAGTGTCATTGTGTGTCTCTCCCTTCGTGTCTTTCAAAGGGCCTGAACCCTCAATGCTTTTGCCAAGACTCTTGTCATTTTTATCACAGGTCTGTGTGTCACAAAGCCTGAACTGATATGCAGGTTGGAGCGAGGAGAAGAACCATGGATACCAAAGAGTGAGCTCCCAAGTCACAGTCACTGGGGTGAGTTGAGGTCAAGTAGAAATGGAGAGGAATGGGCCCCAGGTAGCCAGTTCAAAGTTTCATCTCTTTGAAATATGTTTTATAAATCTCTTTCAGAGGCTCTACCCTTCAGAAGTGAGTAAAGAGATGATCACATACCTTAGATGTCACACCTCCCAGTGTCACTGTCATGTTCTTTGTTTTCTGTTTGAGTTTAAAGAGAAATTCATTTGGTTTCTATAGAATCCAATGACTACTTTTTCCATCCTAGAGCTTTATTTTTCTGGGGTTTTTTTTTTTTTTTCTGCTCAGCAATGGCCATTTCCTCCAGTGTCAAAAACTCCATAAATAGGAGTTTCTTTACATCCTTTTATTCAGCAAATATGAGGAAAGCTCCTGTTATGTATCAGTTAAATCCTAAGCATGCGGGACACAGAAGCAGAATTTCTACTCCTGTCAGTGGATCAATTAGCAAATAAATGCACAGTCGGACAGGTAGTACTCAGCACTGTAAAAAATTAAAATTAGAAACTAGTATTTCTAAACTAGTAGGAAACTAGTATTTAAGAAAGGAAGTTGGAATGTCTCCTTGAGGAGGTAAACACCGAGCAGGAACTTGAGGATGGTATTTTGAATTAAAGGACGGAGTGGGCCATGGGCTGTTGGAGGGATCTGCAGACCAGGGAACAGCAGGTGCCAAGTCTCTGAGACCAGTGTGGTTGTTAATAAGAAACAGCAAGGAATTCAGTGCAACCAAAGGGAGTTGAATGAGGAGGAAAAAGCAGATAAGGTCAGAGTTTACAGGGGAAGATCTGTGTAGGTGTGGTAAAGAATTTCAATTTTACTGAGCTCCCGAGACAGTCTCTAAGAGAATAGGTCAAGGAAAGCACCTTCAAGTGATGAATTTGGAGACCAAGAAGACATAGGGGCCCAGCAAAGAAGACCCAGATGGACTGGCCATCCAGGACATGAGACAGAGCCTGAGGGTTGGTTTCCTGGAAGCCCCCTGAGCAGTGTTAAGAAGAAAGGAGTGGATTCCAGTGCAGAGACAGACGTGTAAAGTCTGTCACATTGCCCTGTCTTTTCCTGAAAATCGTCCAGAAGCCACAAGGCACAGAAAAACATTTTCACTGGAGATTGAAGAAAATCCCAAAATAAAAAGGAAACAAAAAAGACTCACAGTAGAAAAACCAGCCCAAAGCCACGAAAGGCTTGCTTATGGATGCAGAGAAAAGATGTACAAACCAGTGCACCGCACAGTAGTGTTACAATCGATCGTATAGGCAGTATTTACTTGTAAATTTCACTAAAAAAAAAATAGGGCATTAAGTGGTAAGGATATTTTCTTTAAACCATAAAACACTGGCAGTGCCCTAAAGGATGTCTCGGTTCTGAGAAAGGCTGAGGACACAATATAAACTAAATAACTGGAAAACATGAGGGGTAGGTTTGTGATGGAAAGGAGCAATTTATGGGATTAATTGCTACCCATCTCTAATAGGCGGTGACACTATTGTAGATTTGTGAGATGATTATCTGAATATGTATTACGAATTTAAGTGTAAGAATATAGTATAAAGGCCAGGGATGTAGCTCAGCAGCACAAGCACCTGCTTGGCAAGCTCGAGGTTGTGAGTTCGATCCCTGGTACAAAAAAGAATGTAGTATAAAGTCTAAAAGCACAGAAATCTAATGTCACATTCTCTTTGTCAGCCTGCGGATTGACTTTCATTTATTTTATCAACTACAGAAAAGTCATACATTTTAAAACGTACAGTTGATGTCATTACATAAAATATAACAAGATGACAGTAATTATCCAAAGGGCTAGATACATTGTTGAGTGGTAGACTGCTTCTCAGCATGTGCAAAGTCCTGAGTCCAACACCAGGAAATAACCACCCTTGCTCAAACTTATTTACAACAAACCAAGATAAAAGTCCTCAGGCCACACAGAGTTGCCTAGTACTTGCATTATCATGGGAAAGACAGAAACAAGAATAAAATATAATATAGGGGCTGGGGATTTAGCTCAGCGGCATAAGCACCTGCCTTGCAAGCAGGTGGTGGTGAGTTTGATCTCCGGTACTGATATAAAAAAAAGATATAAAAATAGCATTAAAATTAGGAGTTGCAAAGTTATACCCATACAAAACCTGCACATCTAACTGCCAAAACGTAGAAACAACCAAGATGTCCTTAAGTAGATGAATGGATCCATAAGTGTGGGACATCCCGACAATGGAAATGTTCAGCACTAGGATGGCACAACCTTCGAGCCATAAAATGACACAGAAAAACCAGAAACGTGTATTGCTAGGTGAAAAAGCTAGTCTAGAAAGGCTATAACATTGTGTGGCTACAACTACATGATAGAGAAAACTATAACAAAAAATTAGTGATTACTAAGAGCTAAGGTTGGGGTTGGGTAAGGAGAGGATGATAAGCAGATCAAAGAGCTATTTTAGACAACGAAACTTTGGTATGATGCTGCAGTGGTGTACACTAGTCATTGTATGTTTATCCAAGCCCATAGAATGTATAATTTAGGAGCGAACCCAACTTAAGAGTGAACAGTAAACTTTACATGATGATGCTGTGCTGCTATAAATTTAATTATAAGAAAATGTACCTATCAGTCTTGTGGAACATCTTCATAGTTGCGGAGCTGTATGTATAGTGGTGCATGGGAACTCTGTACTTTCTATTCCATTTTACCATAAGCTTAAAACTGCTCTAAATATAAAATCTAATTTTAAAAGCAGCATGGAGACAGGGTACAACCAGCCGGTAAAGCAAATCAGTAGATGAAAGAATAAAAATTAGGATTGTCGTCAGGGCAGATTACTATTCATTAATTCTACTAGAATCAAATGATGGTACCAAAAGTCAAAATATTAGGTGACTGAATCCTATGGCGAGCGTGGCCTGGACATGTCATGTTCTCATCAGGTGCTATTTTCCCACACCAGAGCTCTGTGGGGACACAGGGTCTGAACGATAGGACTGAACGTGATAGGTCCAAGGAAATATATGATTTTATAACTTTAAATTATGTTGCTGTGCCGAATGGAAAAAGAGGAGAAAGACTGACAGCAGGTAGGGGGAGAAAAGATCCTACTGTTAATTAAGGTCTGGGGAAAGGGAAATACTATTTAGTCTCTGATCCACCTAATTCGAGTACTTTTTGTTTTGCTCATTGTTCTCGTCCTTACCTCATTTTTAAGATATCTTTTATCCTTGGACCAATCATTTCCTGACCTTCTTTGTCTTCTATTTATCATTCTTGTGCTGTATTTTAAGTGCCTTCATTACTTTGAGGTCATGTTTATAACAAGCCAAAGTTATTTATGTTCATTTTCAGCTTTCTCTGAAAGCCTGCCTGTACTATACTATGTTTTTTTCTTTGTTTTCATATTCCTCACACAAAAGACTAGAAATACTTGCTTAGGACTGCTGTAATTCTAGGAGATTGTACCTGAAACCCCAGACTCAACTCAGCGTATGTTAAGATTTCCCTTCAAAGATATATTAAGATTTATAATATATGGTTAATTTTATTTTTCTAGACACTCAGAGAGCCAGTAACATTAAAGAAAGTCAAGAAAATGAAGATAAATATTTGAGACAAGTTTTATTCATCAGGAACAGAACACTGATGAAGGACAGAAGTAAGACTTTAGGAGAAATGTCTAACTTGGCCACAGATCCAGTGCCCTCAAGAACAAGATCCTATAAATGTGACTCATTTGGAACAAGCTTAAAGAGTGTTTCAGAATTAGTTATTAGCAATAGAAACCATGTGAGGAAAACATTGGATGATTCCAAAGGATGTGAGTCTCTTGACACTAAACATGAGAACACTCACACAAGGAGTAAAGCATGTAAAAATGACCAAAAGAAGAAATCCCATCATCCTAGTGAAGACTTTACTCACTATCAAAATAATTCATCTTTGGGACAATTTCTTGGCTATAATAATTGTGGGAGGGCATTTCCCAGAAAGACAGTCTTTGTTACACATGAGAGAGCTCACACAAGAGAGAAACCCCCAGAGGGCAATGAATATTCACGAGCCTTCACCAGAAAGTTAAAGCTCACTTCTTACCCAAGAACCCTTAGGGAAAGGAAGCCCCAGGAATCCAGTAAAAATGGGAAACCCTCATGGATGAAGTCAAAGCAAGCTCATGAAAATGTCCATGTAAGAGACAAGCACTATGAAGATAATACATTTGGGAAATCCTTGAGCAAGAAATCAAATCTTACCCAACATCAGAGAATTTGCTCAGGAGAAAAGCCCGGTAAGTACAGTAAAAATGGCAGATCCTTAAAGAAGTTGTACCACACTGAGACTGAGAGAACTCATGCAGGAGAGAAGATATATGTCTATAAAAGACCGAGGAAATCTCTTCGTGAAAAGTCATGCCTTACTCAGCATCAAAGAACGTTCACAACAGAAGGACCTAGCAAAGATGCTAATGGGGAAAAAGCCTTAAAGAAGAAATCTCACCTCACTCTAAGTAAGGGAATGAACACAAGAGAGAAAAAGTGTCAGAGTAATAAATGTGAGGAATCTTTTCCCAAGAAGTCAAAACGTAGTCAGCAAGAGAGCACTAGCTCAGGGAAAAATTGTGATGAGGGTGAGGAACGTGAGAAGGCCTTAAGTAAGAAGTCACGCTTCAGTGAAAACCAGAGCACCCCCAAAGAAGGGAAAACCTATGACTGCAGCAAGTGTGGAAAATGCTTCTGTAAGAAAACAGATCTGACCCAGCACCAGAGCACACACACAGGGAAGAAGCGTTATGAGTGCAGTGAGTGTGAGAAATCCTTCTTTGTGAAGTCCAACCTCACAGAACATCAGAGAACTCACACGGGAGAGAAGCCGTACGAATGTAATGAATGTGGGAAGTCTTTCTGCCAGAAATCAGCCCTCACAGTACACCAGAGAACTCACACAGGAGAGAAACCATATAAATGCAGCGAATGTGGGAAAACCTTCTGTGTAAAATCAAACCTTACTCAACATCAAAGGACCCACACAGGAGAGAAACCCTATAAATGTAGCGAATGCTGGAGGTCTTTCTGTGTGAAATCCAACCTTGTGGTGCATCAGAGGACTCATACAGGGGAAAAACCCTACAAATGTCCTGAGTGTGGGAAAACCTTCTATGAAAAGTCAGCCCTCACCAAACATCAGCGAATTCACACAGGGGAAAAACCCTATGAGTGTAATGAATGTAAGAAAACCTTCAGCCAGAGGTCGGCCCTCACCAAACATCAGCGGAAAACTCACAAGAAGAAGACTGCCATCAACACTGCCCACATGCAGAATCCTGTATCAACAAGCCAAACTCAGTGAACACCAGCAATCAGAGGGCAGAAACCTAACCTATCAGCACAAGTAGCAAAGTCTTCATAAAGGTTTTAACTAATAGGAGTTAGAGAATTAATAAAGGAATGAAAGTATGGAATGCTTCAAACCTGTGAATGCTTTCAACAGGTTTTTGAAGTTGTTGAGGGAAATATATAAATTTGAAAATATGAATTAAAATGTTCTTGGGGAAATACTGTTTAACTAGAAGTCATTTCAGATGTGATATCAAACATGACAGAAAAGAAAAGCAAAAATGTCTTTCTAGAAATTGAAACATGGGGGGCTGGAGGTTTAGCTCAGCAGCATAAGCACCTGCCTTGCAAGCAGGCAGTCGTGAGTTCGATCCCCGGTACCGATAAAAAGGAAAAAGACAAAAAAAAAAAAAAAAAAGAAATTGAAACATGGAGCTTTTGTAAAAGAATAAATAGTTTAAGCCTTTGATAACAGCTGCAGTTAACAGAGTCATTTGGGCCTAGACTTATTTATTGTCTTGATTGTATTTTTTTCCTAGTAAAATGAACACTGACCAAAGCATAAAAATGCAAAAAAAAAAAAAAAATGGAAGAGAAACAAGTTCAAAGTACAGAAACCTAAACAAGTGGAAGTGGAATGAAAGCCAGAGTAAAAGTCATTACAAAAAATATAACAAGCTGAGTCCCCATCAAAAGCAGAGGGACTTCAACAGTGAATTGAGTTTTTTAAAAAAACTAAATCTATGTCTGGTTGCAAAAATTGTGTATCCATGATCAGCTGACAAAGTTTGAAAATTAAGAAAAGGCAAAAAATATATCTTTTAAAAATATACTCATCGGGTTGAGGATTTAGCTCAGTGGCTTAAGTGCCAGCCTGCGCAAGGTCATGAGTTCAATCCCTAGTACCAAAAAAAAAAAAAAAAAAAAAAATATATATATATATATATATATATATATATATATATATATAGATAGATAGCTGGGTGTGGTGGTGCAATCCTGTAATCCCAGCACTTGGGAAACTGAGGCAGGTGGATTGTGGCAAGTTTGAAACCAGCCTGGGCTACAAAGTGAGCCTAAGGCCAGCCTGAACTGCATAATGAGATCCTGTCTCAAAAAGACTATATATATATATATATATATATATTTCCATCTACTAAAAAGACAAATATATATATATATATATAAGACAATATATTAAAAAAGACTATATATATATAAATATATATCCATCTACTAAAATATGACTAAATAAGGCTAAATCTTGTGATTGTATTGCTATTCCAACTTTAATGGAGTTATCACTTGGAAGATAGATATCAAATTCCTATGTGCAGTTGGCACCTGGTAACTATGGCAAAGTGTTTTAATTGTCCTCCATTGAGCATGTTTCACTTCATTTAATAGGGGAACTCCCCGCTCAGTGTTAGAGGCATAGCTTTCCAAGTACAGTTTAGAGTTCTTATCTGATTTGGCCTCTAGATGGCCCCTACCTGCCCGCTGTCACTCATACAGGTTATTGGAAGAATGTGCACGTGTATTTCTAATAGATATACTGAGGATGTGCCCTGCTTTGGTAACACACACACACACACACACACACACACACACACACACACACAACCTACCTTTAAGGGCACCAAATGTCTGATAACAAAGCATTGGCTAAGTAAATTGTGGTACAGCCAGGGGATGGAATGCCTTGTTACCCATTAATAATAAATAATTCTGCAAGAGTTTAACTCTGTGCCAAGCATATTTTCTAAGAAATACACACATGTTAAACTTTCATTTACCCCTAATAGTAACCTATGAAACAGGTGCTGTTATCTCCATTTTATGGAGGCAGTAACCAAAGCACAAGTTAATTTGCCCAAATCCTACAGCAGGTAAAATAGTGCTCTTAACCATTAGCTTTTCAACCTCTTATAAAAAGTGATCCCACAGAGAAATATCCAGTGATTCGCAAATATGTTCATGTTATCCTGGTTTTGTTTTGTTTTGTTTTTGTCTTCAATTGACATTTTTAAGCCTTCATGGCTAGAAAACCTACAGGAATTTCTAGGAAGGGCAGGGCTGGAGCCTTTAGGCACACCTCTCTGATTGGTGGTCTTTTTTGGTTGTCATTACCAGTAAGAAATTTTGTTAGGGCCTTGTATGGATTTTATTTGGGATGATGAACAGGGGAATAGGGAGTGGAGCAACTTGAATTCTCATCCTGACGTGGTTTCTAACAGTTGTGTGACCTACTCCAGGCCCATTTATTTATCTTTAAACTGAGGAGGCAGAATTCAATAAAGCTTGTGATGCTTTTTCATTAGCATCATTCTGAACTTGGTATGTCAGTCTGCAAGGCAATCAGGACGTCCACAGAAGCCAAAGAGGCTGACAGTGGTGTGGATGTGGGTCAGTGCAGATCAGCAAAGAATGGGTGGTGATAAAGGAAGCCCATATCTTTGGAGATGGCAGACACTGCATTTCTTCGGTTGGGCCTGATGAGCTCCTCCTACCTCCGTATGCCAGTAGCCAGGCATTTTCCTGTGTAATAGACACTTCCCTTCAGAGTTGCCACCAATCTTTACTTGCTGCATGGTCCCCGATACTCTCTGCACAGAGTGACACCAGGAAATTTTGCCCACTCTGAACAGGAAGACAAAGAATTACTTCTGAGCCAGGCATTAGGTGTATACTTGCAATCCTACCTTTTTGGGAGACTGAGACAGGAGGCTCACAAGTTCAAGGCCTGGGCTACATAGTGAAGCCTTGTCTCAAAAAGAAAAAAGAGTTGCTTCCTGCCCTGTTCCCTGGGTGGCTTCGTCTGCCTCTACCTTTAGCTGTGGTGAGAGATCTCATTTCCACAGTCCTATCTGGTGGATTTCTGTTCCTAAAGTCTCTTCCTGACCCCAAGGCCCACTGCATCCTGGTCATCATCACCATCATGCCTTCTTTTTAGGTAAAATGTTCTGCACTGCTGGTATCATGATCAGTATCTTTGCTGTGATTTGTGTATATTTGCAAGATATTACCACTGAAGGGCACTGGGTAATGGTTCCCAGGAGATCCCTGTGTTGTTTCTTACAAATGCCAAATGCTTTTGAATCTACAATTACCTCAAAATAAAAGTTTGGTCTTTAAAGGAAGCATGGGAGCAGTCAACAAGATGTGCGAGAGCAGCTCCTCCTGGGCTGAGGAAGGAGAGGAGATGCATTACCTATCACACTGGAGCATCTGCCTTATATTGGTAGTGAGTACGAAGTTTCAAAATCACATCTGACTTTCATTTCCCATGGAAACTTAATTTCAGATTCCGGATTTCCATTCCGTTTGAAAAGTACCATCTGGTCCCACGTGAATGAATGAAATCAAATCCTGTGGCTTCTCAGCCTCTCCTCAGGATTGTTTTCTCCTTGTCCCCTTGTCCTCTCTCACATTAAAGCAAGGTTTAGTGGGAGAGGGATGCACAGATGCACTGCTGAGGCAGTAGCAGGGCCGTGTTGCTTCTCCCTCCAATCTTGATCTGTCTGGGTCTCTACCTGACCCCCTGCCCTTCGGGTGGGAGGTGCACAGCACTCTCTGGTCCCAGGCACAACAGCTGAATGGAGTCTTTGTGAACTGCCATAACAGAATACCTGAGACTGAATGATTCATAATGAGATGAAGCTTATTCTCATGCTTCTGTTGGCTGAGAAGTCTAACACAGAGAGCTAGCACTTGGTGAGGGCTTTCTCACTTTGCAATTCTACTGCAGGAAGCAGGAGAAGAAAGGAGAGAGAGACAGAGTCAGAGTCAAACTTGCAACCTGAAACTCTTTTGTAATTCACATTAATTCATTCATAAAGGTGGAGCCCTCCTGACCTAAACACCTCCCATGAGGCCTCACCTCTTGACACTATTGTATTAGAAATTAAGCTTCCAGGACATGACTGGGAGGGGGTCACAGTCGAACCATTGCAGTCCTCTAGACTGATGATCCATGACGTGGAGCCCTATCAGTAACAAATAAGGCTGTCTCTGTGTGGAGACAGAGTGGTGCAAGGTCAACTTGGCTGGCTTTGGTATGCACCCGGAAGATGGTTCGAGCACATTTCTGGTGTGCTGCGTGAGTAACAGAGCTAACCTTGGGGTCTATGTCTGGTCCCTCACGCCTTCCTCTCTGGCTCTGTTTCCCATCTCTGTTTCTCAGCAGCCACAAACTGAGCAGATCTGCACTGCCGCATCTTCCTTCCACCATATTTCTGCCACCTGACCATGACTGCAAAGCTGACCATGGACTGAGTCCTCTGAGACCATGAGCCTCATTAAACCTTAAATTGTGAGTCTGGATATTATGTCCCAGAAACAGAAAATCTGACTAAAATCTGTGACCACAGAGCAAAGCTTTATTTTTATCTTTCACGATCCCTTTAAATCTGCAGGGCACAGCTAGTTCTCCTCCTGCCACTGAATGGAACTTCAGACAGTCATAACTTCTGTGGCTGCTCCTAGGTAATAAACAGCCAGCAGCTGGCCCTGCAGGCGGCTGGACAGGGACGACACCTCAGTGAGATTGCTGTGCAACTGCTTGCCAGGGGAAAGGAATCTGCTTTATTTAGTGCCTGCCAAAGGGTTTGCTGCTTACTCTAAATATGCTGAGCCCTTGGCCTTGAGTTCCTCAGCTTCAAGGAGGCCTAGTGGGTGGGTACAACCCATCTGAGCCCATGGCACGGTCCTGTGGGGCCTAAGGGCAGGGGGCTATGTTGGTGCAATCCCATTTGCTGTGCCCAGTGATAAACTATCTCCTCTCATCCCCGTCTGCTTTGGGCACCTATACAGTCATGGCAGCATTACTCTGTCTCATCAGCTTGGGACTTTTCCCTCACACTCTGCCCACACTGCACTAAAAGGGAGGGTCAGCTCCTGCAGGGATCAAACCTCCTGAGCCCTCCCTCCTGGGTCTGCCAAGCCCCCAATCCCCAATTCTTCCTCTCTGCCTTACATTTTTCTGGATGTCTCTTCTGTTCTAAGGCCATCAGGAGTCTCTGTGCTGTCTCTTCCCGGTTTTGCTCAGGTGCTGTAGAACAAGAGGTACCACCAGCAGATTTGCCCCAAGTCACCCTGATCCTCTTCTGTTTCACCTTCTAGAATAAAAGGAAATCATCAGGCAATAGTGCCTCAAATATCCCAAAGTGCTTCCAGTAAGCCTGCCTACCCTAATCTTCCTTTCTTAGAGCCCAAGGTGACTCCTTCCAAAGCCTCTAAAGGAGCACATTGCACGCTCCAGAGGAGGGGGCTCGGGGCTCAGGGAAACCCACCTCTGAGCCCCAGGTTCACCACTGGCCACTGTGTGGTTCTGACTCAGTTATGAAGCCTCCCCGGGCCTCACACCCAAATGTAGTTCTCAGCACGTGACTGGTGATGCCACAGCAGCAGGGCAGTGAATGAGCTAGTTACTTTCTGGGAAGATGTTCCCAAGATGTACAGCAGAGGGCTCTGGTCACATAGAAATGACTGAAATTCACTGGACAGAAAGCTCTCTATGGAATCCCTTCTCCCATCTCAGCCCTCCATTTTCATCTACCTGTAACAATGCACAGAACTGGGGCAGCGCTTTCCACACATGACGCTTATATCAAAGAACCAAATTGTGTAGCTCTACAGTTTAGTTACCCACCACTTCATCCTGGCCTACTTTTCATGAGTCCAATAAGACATGCATTCTCTGCAGGGTCCGTATCAACCCCAGGAGGCAAAAATTGGTTCCCCCCTCCTCTAATCTTCGCTACTACCTTGGTTAATGGCCCTTCAGAGGACCACAATGTACAAGCAAATGGGAAATATACTGTTTTCATAGCATTAAAATTTCATGGATAAAGGACATTTATGAGGGGAAAACATTAAAAAGACTTCTTGGAGAAAGTATTACTTTTAATATTAAAGTCGAAGCTGAATAGAGTGGTGTATGTTTGTGATCCCAGCTACTTGGGGGGCTGAGACAGCAGTATCACAAGTTTGAGGACAGCCTGGACAGTTTACTGAGCACTTGTCTCAATACTTAAGTCTAAAACAGGGCTGGAGTGTAACTAAGAGGTAATGCCCTTACCTAGCATGCACAGGGCCATGGGTTCAATCCCCACTGCCCCAAAAGAAGTAACAAGTGATACACACTGAATAAAGAGGGAGACTGAATCAAGAGAAGACAGTGAAGTTAGGGGTATGTAGGATAATTTGTTCCTGTAGAATCTGAGATAGTCCATGACACTACCCAACCTCAACAATCCCTAATGGAAATTGTTTAGAATGGGCCTCTTCTGCAAAATTTTAATTTCAGTGTTCCATTCTGACCAACCCCAAATTTCTTTCAGCCCTTCAGACCTCCACCCTTCTGCTCCCCACTCCATTTCCAAGCAGCCACCTGCCTTGGTTTGCTCAAAATTAGTTTGCATTTTTAGAGCGGGTTTTATAAATGGAATCCACCCTTATGTATGCTTTCTTTTCTGTCTCCCTCACTCTGTGTAATTACTTTGAGATTCATCCATGTCGTTGGGTGTGTGACAGTTCATTTTCTTTATTCTTATATAGTACTCTATTTTAAAGATATGGGTTCACTCATTCACCTGCTAATGAACTGGGGTTCTGTCCAGTCTGAAGTCAACATGACGAAAGCTCCTGTGACTAGTCATGCTTTTGTGTGGCCATACGTTTTTCATTTTTATTGCATAAATACACAGGAGTGAAATTATAGGGAAACATGTGTTTAACTTTGTAACAAAGCAACTGATTAAAACCCTTTCCCCAGCAGTGGGGCTCTTTTCCCACTCCTCTGAATACAGAAACTAGGCTCAGTGATTCCAAAGGATCTTTTCCAGGACTCCTTCTTAAGTGATATTCAGTGTCTCCACCCATCTTTTGGGAAGAAGGAGGTGAGTGGCTGACCACCTCCAGTTAGGCCAAGATGATTTTGTGGAGCCTCTCTCCATAGGAAGACACACAGATGTACGTGAAATCTTGGGCATGGCAGAATACATCTAACATTCCACAAAAATGTAGAAAACTCAGAGAAATGCAAATAAGAAAAAGAAATGACAATGACAATATCCTTGGAAAGTATATGTGTTGTCCACAGCCCAGATGTGCTAGGGCAGTGGCATAGGTTGCCAAGAAACCAAAGAAAATACCAAGAGATGGCTTGAGATACATAGGGTTTATTACAGCTTATTAATAGGTAGAAATGGAAAAGGACAAGACAGATTGTGTTTACTGACAAAGAAGAGAATTCAGTGGTAAACTCACCCAGGAAGTCCAGTGGTGGAGGGGTGAACAGGAAACCACCAACAGGTCTGGTGCTGGTGGGCCAGAAAGCAGACTCTCTGCAGATCTGGTGGCCACTGACTGGGTGGAGACTGCAGCAGTTTGCAAAGCCAAGCTGGACTCCATGATGCATAGTTCTTACCCAGACATTGCAGAAAGGGGGCTTTAAAGACAAAACTACATAGCAATGACATCATTGGCTTGCTTTGTTCCAACAGATGATCAGAATTTCAAGGAATAACTGTCTTAACATACGGGCAGGAAAGCAGTTTCTACAGCTGACACTTGTTTGCCAGTCCCCAGTGTTCCCAGATAACACTCTGGACAGTGCAGTCCCTGTCTGCTTACAGTGTCTCTTTGACTTGACAGGAGTCTTAGGAATACAAAAGAGGCATATCAGGGACGTGGTGCTAAATGGCAGGTTTTTTATTTTTCAGTGACAATACACTGTGTGGCTCACAGTCTGCTGTGTTCCCTGTCTATCTTTTTTTCCACGCATAGTATATACAGGAATGAGGGATCCCGTATTTCCTCTATACAGAGATACATGTTTTGCACAATTAACGTTCCTAATCAGATAGTTAAGGATGGGCACCTGTGACAACAGTCACAGTCCAGTTTCCACACCTGAGCCAACTCTGGGATTCCAAACACAGGAGTTTAAGGAGAGACTGGGTCCCTGAATGGAGAGGAGCACTCAAACATTTCGAAAACTATTGGTACATGGTATGGATTAACATCAAAAACCAGAGACCCAAAGCAGCATCACAGCCTCCCTATCAAACTAGAGGTATTTGCAGGGCAGGAAAAGTCCTGACCTGAGTCTGGCCTACAGTGGTCCATGGCACCCATGGGCCAACTCTGTGGTCATTTCCCCAGCCCTCAATTGGAACAGACACATTGGCCAGGCACAGCTCCCACACTAACTCTGAACGAGGAGGGTAACTCTGTACGAGGAGGGTAAGGGCCATCTGAGTGAGAGAGGCCAGTAGAGGCCTCTGAAACAGCCTCACCACCTTGCCCCAACCCACAGGAAGTGAGCGTGACAAATAAAAATACCATCGCATCTCAGGAGAAATGTTAGAGATTAGTGTCACCTTTACAAACCTAAATGATGGTGAAGTGGCAGTCACTGTCAAATCATGTTTAATTCACCAGTCTGGCCCCTGCAAAACCCAGATATACCCAGGGATTGAGAATGGATGACTGCAAACTTAATCAAACAGTAGCCTCAATGCAGCCACCGTGCCTGATAAGTTATCTTCTCTTCTCTAGAATAGATCAGCACAGCCTCAGGTATGAGCTGTACACCCACTGAGCTGACTAAAGTGTTCTTTCTCATCCCTATCAAAATAGAGGATCAGTTCATATTCAGGAGGAACAGACAACAGTATGCACATCCTGTGTTGCTGTGGGGCCCCTTTCATGACACAATCTGAAGCGAAATGGACTAGCTGTGTATCCACAGAAATCACTCTCGTCTCCTCTATCAGAGACACATGCTAGTTGGCCTGGGTGAAGAAGCTAGAATATGAAGGCTTTGGCAAGACAAAAGCACTCTAGAAGATGTGAAAGAAACCCTACAAAGGGGGCTGGGGATTGAGCTCAGCGGCATAAGCACCTGCCCTGCAAGCAGACAGTCGTGAGTTCGATCCCCGGTACCAGAAAAAAAAAAAAAAAAAAAAAAAAAGAAAAGAAAAAGATAAAGAAACCCTACAAAGATGGGAAAGATGGGAATCCTGCCAAATAAGTATAATGTTTAGAGTTCTGTGTCAGTCAGCTTTCTGTTGCTGGAACAAAACATCCTAGAAAATGCAACATAAAGGAGGAAACTTGTGTCCTGGGTCACACCATCAGAGGTTTCAGTGGGTGGTCACTTGGCTGTGTTGCTTTTGAGCCTGTGGCAAGGTAGAACATCATGGCAGGACCACAATGCAGAGGAAGCCGCTCACCTCGTAGAGGAGATAGAGAGAGAGAGAGAGAGAGAGAGAGAGAGAGAGAGAGAATGAGAACCAATATTCCTGCTGTCGAGGGCACACTCTGGTGATCTAACTTCATTCCACTGGGCCCCGCATCCTAAAGATCTTATCAACCTCCCATAGCACCAACAAAAGAGAATTAAGTGCACAGCCTTGGGAGCATCCTTAAGGTGGAAATCATCTCACCAATGAAAGAGAAACAAGGGGGGAGGTAGCGGGGGAGGAAAGAAGGGACAAGGGGAAAAGAAGAATAGAAGGAAGAAATGGAAACAAAGCTTTTGTAAGGAAGGAGGGGAAGTGGGGCTGAAAGGAGGGGAGGGGAATGGGAGAAAAAGAAGAATCAAGATAGACCGTGTACAGTTACAAATTCCCTGTGATGAGCATTACTGCGTATATCTAAAATGTACCAATAAAAAATAAATCAAAAATATGAAAAATAAAAATAAAAATCACAGATTCCAGTGAAACTTGCAGAAGCATGCTGGATCGTGTTCTTCACAGTTAAACTATCTTACAGCTCCTGCCACACAGAAGGAAGCGGCATGCCTGGTGGACTTTGAGTTCTGGAGACAGAATATTCCAACCTGGGAATACTGCTCTGACCCAAACAATGGGTGAATTAAAAGGCTGTCAGGGGACCAGAGCAGGAGGAAATTTTGTAACAGGTTCTAGCTGCAAGGCAAGTGGCCTTGAAGCTCGGACCACGTGACCTAGCAGGCCATCTGATACTAGAGATTTCTGTGATGGAAAAATAGGGAGCAAAGTTTATGGCAAATCCCACTGGGTTGACCACAACTCAGATCCATAGGGGTCTGGAAGAAAGCCATGTCATCTGCAGCAGAGAATTACATGCCTTTCAATACGTATCTCCTGAATGCTGCTTGATCCTGGTAGGGATGGACTACCTGCCCACAGAAGAGCAAATGGCCATGCAGCTGGAACTAACTCAGCTCGTCAGATTTTGTCACATCAACTAAGTCATAAGGTCTGGTGCGCCCAGCATCAGGCCAGGATGAAAGCAGGACATCAAAGATTAAGCAGAGGAAGACCAGATGGCTCAAGTGGGCAGCACGGATGAGTGAGCCAGACCCTGTTTCATCCACCCAGTGCCTCTTCCCCAGCTTGCGTGGATGCATAGAGTTTGAGGTCCTTAGGGTTAGGGTCCTTAGGGTTTGGGGTCCTTTGTGGCCTGCTGACTGAGGGGAAAGAAGCCTGTGCTTGGTGTATGGGTCATTTACCCAATTTTGTTGGTAAATAAACATGTGGCTCCATCCCAGCCTCATGCTGACAATGGCCTGGTAACCTGGAAAAGGTGGATCCCTTAGAAACGAGGAATCACACTACCAGGCAAGCCAGAGTCCTGCTGAGGGTGTTGAGGAGAGCAGCGTAGCGTAGGTGGAGAGAAGACAGGTTGGCCGAGCAGCTGCCCTGCTCTGGACTGACTGCCTTAGGCTCCTGCTGTATAGCACGAAGACAACTGAATGTTTAAATCACTGTGCCTTGGTTTCTGATTGATCCAGTACTCCAAACAGTAGTAGATACAACTGATGTTATCCCTCAGTCTTTGAATTTGCATAGAATTCAAACATCTGAAGTTAGTAAAAATGGATAATCTTTCCACTTCAATTCAGGCTCACCATTTTACTTATTTATTTCTCTCTTCTTTTGCTTATGTTTTTCTGGTTTAAAAACACGGCCACTTGTTATATATTTTCTTACACATGTTGAGTCCTATATTTTTCCATTTTACTCATGGTTATCATTCCATTTATTGTCTTTTCTTCCGGATTTTGGAAACATTGTATACAGTACAGTATCTGTAAGTCATCCAGCTAGGAAATAGCACACTATAACTTAGTACCCATTGATCAGCTCCTCCCCCCATTCCACACCCCTATTTTCTCCAGCCTTAGTAACCACAATTCTACTCTTGACCTCTGTGAGGGGTAACATTTTTATATTCCATATATGAGCAAGATCATGCAGCACTCGTCTGTGCCTTGCTAAATTCTTGCCTTAACATAATGATCTCCAGTTCTGTGGACACTGTTGTGAATTTCATAGGACTTCATTCTTTTTATGGCTGAATAGTATTCCACAGCATATGTGCATATGTACATTTTCTTTCTCCATTTATCAGTTGATGGGCACATCAGTTGTTACCATTTCTTGGCTGTTGTCAATATTGCAATAAACATGGGAGTGTAGATATCTCTTCGACTTAGTGATTTTATTTTCCTTGGATGGACACCCAGTAGTGGAATTTCTGGGTCATACAGTAGCTTGGATTTTAATGAGCTGGTAGCTCTATTTGTATTTCTTTTTAGGAATCTGCGTATGGTTTTCTAAAATGACTGCACTAAGTTATATTTGCACCGACAGCATGCAGGGTACCCTTTTCCCCACACTTTATTCTTTTTTTTTTTTTTTTTTTTTTTGTATTTTTACCGGTACCAGGGATCGAACTCACGACCACACACTTGCAAGGCAGGCCCTTATGCCACTGAGCTAAATCCCCAGTCCTCCCACACTTTATTCTTATCTTTTCAATAATAGTCATTCTCATGACAGTAAGGTGGTAATTCATTGTAGTTTTGATTTTTATTTCCCTAGTAATTACTGGTGTTGAATATTTTCCATACACCTGTGGACCATTGGTATGTCTTCTTTTATTTTTCTTTTTAACATTCTAAAAAATACCGAATTTCAACTACAATAACTGTTCATTATATGAAAAGTACTACCTTCCTCCTCCACATTAAGCTGACCTAGTTAAATAATTCTTTGGTATTTCTATCCTTTCCAACACTAAGAGATTTAAATGCTTTTATTCTCTATGTGTATCTACCCCTAACCCCAATATTAGGCTAGCATCTTTCAGCACTTAACAATGTATTCTTCTCCTTATGGTTTCTCCTTTTGCAAAAGTCTGCCAGACACAGTGGCATACACTTGTAATCTCCAAACTTGGGAGGCTGAGGCAGGAGGATCTCCATGAATTTCAGGCCACCAAGTCACATGGTGAGTTCAAAACCAGTCTGAACTACATAACAAGACCTTGTCTCAAGAAACAAGGCCCATGGACACTATACACTATCATTTGTTTCCACTATTTATGTTGCAATTTCAGTACATTTTTGTTTAGGATGTTCCTAAAAACAACTATTGTTCTCCATAAGATCTGCCTGGAACTCAGTGCAACTTTCATATCTGCAGCTTGACTCTTTTCTGAAAAACCTTCATTGAAAATTTCTTCCAGTGTTGACTCACACATTTCCTGTCCTCCATTTGCCTCATTTTATGAGCTTCCACTATTCCAATAATAAATCCAATATAGCATAATGCAATTATGTAATTATTTGGTTGCCTATATCACTCCCAAACCTTTGTTTCCCCTCATGTTTTCGATTTCTTGGAATTTTATTTTATTTATTTATTTTTATCTTTTTGAGACAGGGTCTCACTATGCAGTTTAGACCTGACTCCAACTCACTTTGTAGCCTAGTGTGGCCTCAAACTCATAGTGATCAGTGATCCTCCTGCCTCAGCCTCCTGAGTGGTGGGTTTATGGATGTGTGCCACCACACCCCCTTGGAATTTTAAAGTTATGTTTTGTTATTTTCTGCATTTGGAATTCCAGGGCAGATAATTGCCCATCCTTACTCTAACCATCATCCTCTCCTTTTCTTCATTACTTGAAACATTTAGTCTGAAAGATGAACCGCAGAACACAGGTGTGTGTGTGCCCACACTTTAATTATAGATCCTTACGTGTTGTTGTCATGATTGTCTTTAGTTCAAGTTATCATTGATCCTCTGTGAGTCATTAGTCCCTATTGCTGTTCTCGGCAATATTCTGGTCCTTTGTCCTTCTGGCTTCCAGGTCTCCCTGGATGTCCTGGTATTTTCTTTTGCTGGAAAGTCAGCTGCTGGGATATGCAGCAGGGTCATCCCTTGAGTAACAGATGGCCCAGATGTCTTTGCCGTGCCGGGACCAGAGTACACCTGTTGGCAGGTTGTCGGGCCTAGAGAGGGCTTCCTCCCTTCTGTAGTCATCTCAACTGCAAAGGCCAACATTTTCACAGGGAAGAGAGGACTCGCAGACCTGTTTACTCTCCCACGGCTTTTTGAAGGGTGGAGCATGGGCCCCAGGGAGGCTCACATGGGCAGGTGCTGCCTCTCCCTCACAAGATCCTTGGATTTCTGGAAGTTAAATTCTCAGATTTCACACTTTTCTTCTCTTGCTCCTGTGCGGTCCATCTCTAGTTCCTGAGCTTTCACAGAGATCAGAGGCAAAAACAACTTTGCCAACCCCTCCTCTAGAGGAGTCTGTCTGGAACCCAGAGATGGACTGCATTTCATCTCCACTGAAAATCCCAGAATCTGCTTGGCTCACAAAGAGTTCAGCTGGTGGTTTTAAATAGAAGGATAAAGGCAGCAGAGGTGTATTCAAGCAACCATCTCCCCAGAATTCTAGGAGGATATTTCACTGTGTTCTAAAAGGCAGAAGCACTATAGGCCCTTTCACAAACCACAGTGCAATCAAACTAGAATTGGCAACCAAAAAAATAGTCAAACAAACAAACTAAAGTACCTGTATAGATATCCAAATTTTATTCTTTTAATTATATCCAAAATTTATTCTCTTAATTATCTGTGGAGTTAAAGGGAAATCAAAGTAGAAATTATAAATTACTTCTAATGAATAACAATAAGAGCACAAAATACAAAAATCCATGAGATGTGACCAAACACAAGTTCAAGCAGGTTTAAGTAACTCTATTAGAAAAATAAAACAAAAGATTAAAAACAACCAGAAGGTCTCAAGTAAAAACATCAGATTAAGCACACAAATCTAATTTTGTTTCCCCTGAAATACCTATTGAAAATAGAAGAAAAGGATTTTATTTTCACCTTTATCTTTTGTAAAATGTCAAATCCCCAGAAAAGGCAGAATGATACAATTAACATCCATATAGGAGCCATCTGGATTCAACACTTGTTAAGAGTTTGCATACTTGCTTTATCTCCCTACCTTTTCCTTTATACATACATTGTCTTAGTTACATTCCTCTCATTGCTGAGATAAAATAATTGATGCCTAAAGTTAAGGGAAGAAAAGTTCAATTACCTCACAGTTTGTAGAGGTTTCAGCCCATTATCAACTGGCTCCAAGGCAGGATCCTTGGCAGAAGAGACTAGTTCATAGTGGGTAAAGAGAGCAAAGCAACCAAGGGAAGACAAGCCTCTTCCTGTTCCTGCTATTGTATCTAGTCTACCAAGATTAGAGTGGTACAGGCTGGGGATTTAGCTCAGCGGCATAAGCACCTGCCTTGCAAGCAGGCGGTCATGAGTTCAATCCCCGGTACTGATAAAAAAAAAAAAAAAAGATTAGGGTGGTACCAATCCAATCAGTGGACTGATTAAATAACTGCCCATCCTTACTCCTAGCATTGTGCTGTGAATTCACACACCCTAGATTCAGCCACCTCTGAAAAAGGCCCACCTATGACCACCTGAGGCTTTGGGAGGACATCTAGACACAGGCCATAACACACATACACTCACACACACATTTTTTCTGAATAATTTGAAAATCATTTGTTTTAGCTCTCTGTCTCTTCTGTTACACATATATGCACGCACATATTTTTTCTGAATCATTTGAAAATAAGTTCCCCATGTTATGACACTTCACACTTAAGTGTGCATCCCCTAAGAATAAAGATAATTTCCTATTGTCATAACTGGCTAGAAGAGAGACTCTGAAACAAAGATGTGCTTGTGGAAAATCTTACTAGGGAGTGGCTTGGGGAGCAACACTTGTGAATGAGAAAGAAAAGGGACTGGGCAGAGTGACACAGTGGGTGATGTTACAGATTTTATACAAGCACAAGCCACCTCCCTGGGGAGCTCTGGAGCTGTGATGGCACTTCAGCATCAGCTAGTCAGACTGAGAGGAGCTGAGCCTGTAGACCTCCATAGCAACAAGAACTGGACATGGACTGACCAGAGAGAGGGCAGCATCTGGGATAGGCAGGAGTCTTTGACCCAAGTACTTCCTGAAGAGAGTTGAGAACTAGGACTCTGTTGGAAGCAATTTTAGCAGCTGCAGGAATAAGTCCTCAATTCTTAAAGAGATCTGGGCAGTGCCACATGTGTCTGATACAGTCCACCTCTTTGGGACTAAGATTCACATCTTCACTTTCATTTCAAGAGGGACACCTACAGGATTCCAGAGGGCAACTTTCCTGGGGGAAATGTGTAAAAGAAAGGTTAAAGGGACCAACTGCAGTCCCTGCCAATATAGCTGGTTTCAGGGACACAATGGACTCTCTCACCCAGTCAACATGTTTAGGATCCAAAAATTCTTTTTTGCCCAGAAACAAAGAAAAAAAATGCATGAGCAGCAGTATTCATAACAAATATGTTGGATTTTGAGAATAAAATTCCAAACTGATTGGAAGAAACTTTATTACTAAGCAATGTACAAAGAGGATGTCATAAGCATAAAATTTCTAAACCAAGCAACATAGCAAGTAAATATAGAAATCAAAACTCATTAGAAATACAAAAAGAATATCATAAAAATACAATTTCTGCAGGAGGCTTAATATAACTTCTTCAAAATCAGTAGCTCCAACAGAGAAAATAAATGCATAAAAGAATTACGTATATATAGTCCACAAACTCAAATAAATGAATATTTTTCTCAAATGCAGAATGCACATTTTTAAACATACATGGAGCATTTATCAAAATTTATCATTTGCTTGACCATAAGGAAAAGCTCAAAAATTCCATAAATTAAATTTTTTACAGAGTATCTTTTCTATTTATTATCTAACATAAAAAGAAGTAAATAGCTTAAAAGGTCATCAACCAGATACTCATAACTTGGAATCAAGTGAAAGAAATATACTGCTAGATAATCTTGGGGTTAAAAGAAATAAAAAATGAAATTACAACTTACCTAGGAGACCAGGGAAAGGAGACCTCTTCAGACAAAAGCTTATGGCAGACAGAGGTAGCTGTATTCAAAGGAAGTTTTATAGCCTTAAGTACTTTACCAGTAAATGAAAAGAACTTAATGCTTATAAATGAGTTAACTTATGTCTGGCTCCAAATCCACAGCCATTCTATATCCCACCTTTCTCCCCTACCTGTGTCACTGTCATGCGCCACTGTCCTGCTTCATTAACCATCACCGTGGCCTTACCTTATACACCTGCCAGTTCTCAGACTTTTAATATGTATCGATACAATCACCTAGGAAATCTCATTAAAATGCTGATTCTGTTTCAGTGGGTCTGAGGTGAGATCTGTATTCTGTATTTCTAACATACTCCCAAGTGTTGCTGTTCCTCTCCATTACACACATGTGCACACACACACACACACACACACACACACACACACACACACACCCTTTGTGTAGTAAGGATGTATACTGACTTAAAAGCACTCAGCCTGGCAGAATGGTAATGTCTTCTTTAAGATTTAGTTAAGGCACTGTCTTAGAAAAACACTTTTGAGATTGGAATATTTGTTAAAATATGGTACAAGCACTAAATCAATCAGGAACAAAGGAGTTGATGCAGGATTAATCTCTCTCAACACCACACAACTATTGAGGCATCTTCACGCCAAAGCATTAGCAGCAAAGGAGGAGATGATTACAGTGGTTGGGATAACTCACCTGTAGCGTGAGGACTTTGGACAGCTGCTACACAGTAGGAAGTCAGAGAAACATCAGACTGACTCTCTCAGGACATGCAATGGACAGTCTCAACAACCAGGGAAAGGGCTCAGATCCCTAGAGGAAGCGGTCCGTGTCATCCCTCCAGACAAGCAACCTGTTTCAGTGGTAGTGATAGCCAAGGGGAAAGAAAATACAGAATGGGTAGCAGAGAAGGAAGATAATTAATTTGAATTACTATCCAGGAACCAGCCACACGAACAAAAACAGCATCTTGGTTTGCTAATCTGCTTTTAAAAGTTCAAGCCAAGTATAGTGGCGCATGCCTGTAATCTCAACACTTGGAGGTTGAGGCAGAGGATCGAAGTGAACTCGAGGCCAGCCTGGACTACAGAAAATGTTCAGGGCCAGCCCGAACTGCAAAGCCAGACCCTGTTTCTAAATAAATAAATATTTCAGGAGCTGCCATAGGCTACCACCTGGAAAGACTGACCTGTATCTCTTCTCTTGTGGGAGAAATGAAGGCATCTTGTTTTCACGTGTGCTCCAGATGTTGTAGGAGGTTAGGACCTGAAGGATGCAGGGGTAAATAAAGTGTGCTAGATGCTGCTTGTGCCACCACAGAGCTCTCGGTGGTGTCCTCTCCCAAACATTATCCTCAGGCCCAAACCACTTGCCTTAACTCCTCAATGAAGGGGCTCAACAGGGGTCAGCAAGCGACTCACTGGCCATGGTGTCAGGTAACTGCCTCTGCTGCCCCCTACCCTAAAGATGAAGGAATCTCGTGGTCCTGCTCTCAGAAAGGGAGTGACAGACCACAGGCATGGCTAGGTTGATCTGGGAGGCTTTGGCTTACCCAAGGCAGTCTGGAAAGGATGGGTGACACAGGTCGGCCATAAAGAATTATTGTCCTGCAGGGATGATTTTTGAACCATAGATGGTGAGGTGGGGGACAGACAGGAGCCAGTGGGTATGGTCTACTCATCTTCCCTTTCTGAAGACATTCCAGGAGCGAATAGTCCACACAGTTCCCTCAGAAACTGCATCAGGAGCAGAGCAGTGAGCTTCATGAGCTACGGAATTCCGGGCCTCTTACCTTGAGTGGTGCCTGTCACCCTTGCTCTGTTAGTCCTTCCTTTTTCCCTCAATCTACTCTGTGAGGTTGCACATCCCACTGAGGCGTCAGGATGTAAAGTTTGCTACAGGCTCTATTTATTGGGGAACTCAGGCTAAGACAACACTCTTCTTGAAAAACAGGGAAACAACAAGAAAATAAGCTGGAGAGAAAGAAAATTCTTTAGAATAAAAGATGATATTTTAGAAATAATTGAAGAGAATGCATTGCTTTGAACCCCTTCCCCAAAAATCCCTACTATATCAGTTAGGATTCGGTATGCAGTCAGTGGAAACTGAGTTGGATGGTCCAGCTCAGCTTGATTAAAAAAGATAATGAGAACCTCATAGTCTTGGAAGGACTGAAAAATCAGAAACCAATCTTGCTGTCCCCACCCACAATAGCAGGAATCTGAACTGGCAACTTCCTCTGGGACTGCTACCATCAAAGCCTGTGCCACCTGGGCCTATGGAGTTGGAAATGCCACTCAGAATTTCATCCCTCACGTAGCTCACTTCCAATTCACTCCATAAAGGTCAAATCTGCACATCTTGGCTGGTAGGGAGGCTGGAAATCCGAAGTCTAACTTCTACCCTGGAGAGATGGGACTCGTGGTTGTGAATTTCTGCCAATACAGAGGGCTATTCAAAGGATGGTGGGAAGTGATAAATAAGACAGATGTATACTATGAGAAATAAAAGAGCTCCACCCCTCAAGAGGCAGATCAAAAGTGCAAGAGAACAAAAAGTAGTTTAAGAAATAGTTCTGGTACAACTGGTTATCTGGAATAGAGCTGTCCAAAGAAAACATAAGCTATGTAATTAAACTTTTTCTAGTTGCCACATTAAAAAAACTAAATATGTGAAATTAATTTTAATAGTTCAATACAAAATACTGTCATATCAACATAAAATCAATGTAAAAGTTATAAATGTGACATTTTACATGCTTTTTCCTCCTAGTAAGTCTTAGGAATCTGGAAATTTTAGGCTTACAACATTTCATTTCAAGCCAGTGACATTTCAAGGACTCCAGAACCACATGTGTCCTATGGCTATTGTGTTAAAACTTGTATTGAACATTACCAAGATGGAAGAAATGAAAATTGGGACCCTATTTCATACCATTTTAAAAAACAATTAAAGATGAATTAAAGACTTAAATCTAAATAAAATGATCTCAATTTAGAAGACCCATATGATGGCTATACAAACCTAGTACTCAATGAGATTGTTCTAGCTACCCCCAATTGGGTATCAGATAAGGGCTTACTAGCTATATAAAGAGTCCTTGAAAACTGTATTAAGATAAAAATGATGGGGAGCTGTCATTAGATAATTCCCAGAAGAACAAATTCAAATGGTGAATAAGTCAGAAAGGTGCCCGGTCTCCCTAGGAGTTATGGAAATGCAAATTAAACAACAACGAGACCACACTTTACTCGAATCAGGAGAATGATACCACCTACTCCAGCCTGGGAAGAGACGCTCTTCACACATCGCCAGCAGCTATGACCTTGTTGGAGAACAGTCTGGCAACATATAGCAAAATAAAACAACACCACATATTTTTTCACTCTGCAATCCTACACATGGGAATCTGTCCCACAGAAATAAAAACACCAAGAATATATGTGGATGGATTGTTCACATCAACAAAGATCATGATTTCAAAGGAGAGAAAATCCCCATAACAGGGTCAATGCCACATAGGTAGAGGAACAGTCAAATAAATTGTGGTACATTTATATCATGGCACAGAACAATAAGAATCACTTAAATATCTACTGACTTAAGAACACTAAAAGATACAGAGAAATTTAAAAACTATGGCTCCAGTTATACAAGAAATAAGGAGGAAGAAAAATCTACATATACTGTATAAATACATACATTTATGTGTGTTTAAAGATACGATTTTATGAACACAAAGAAGGAAGGATGTGATCCCTGGAAGGAGGAAAAGCAGGTGATACTGATAGAATTTTTGGCATGGCTAGAAGATAGAAATATGAAATAAAGTGGCCTTTATTTTAAGAATGTGGAGAGAGAACCCCACAACCACTGGGGTCTGGCTTTTCTCTCTGCCAGACACATAGTGTGGGGGCATACATATAGCTTAGGTTTGGGGTGGTGCCTAAGGGGCATTACTGATGCACAAGTAGCCCATTGGAATTCATTTCGTGCCACAGGTAAATTGCCTAGGGGCTGGGAAGGTGACCTCAAGATAGAGCCCCTTGGATCCACCTCCCAGCCTTCCACCACTGCAGCCACTGCTGCAGTGTCCAGGGAAAAATCCTTTCATTCCCATTTTTTTATTATTAGGAAAAGAGTGAAGCTTATCTTTCTTTTACTATTTCCTGCTGATAGGGGTGTCGTATTGGGGTTTAGGAAGGTTGATGGGATCACAGTTGATATCCATTGAAGCTGGTGCCAGATGTTTTAGCCAGGACAACTTTACCATTGGTGAATGCCAACACATTAGACTGAAAAAAACAAAAATACAAGGTGTTATGAGGAGGCAGACCACTATCATATTTAAGGACCCAGGTGAGGTAGAAGGAAAGATGCCTTTGATTTAGATATGTCATTTTATCAGGACCACGGTGAGGTAGAATCATTGCCACAGTGAGATAGAATTATTAAAAATAAGTGTGGGGTTAGGAGGAGTGAAGTTATGAGAAGTGATTATTCCCCTATCTGAAAAGGTAAAAGTTAAGAGGGTAAGTAGGTAAGGCTTGTCTCTGGTCCAGGAGTTGAGCTGGAAAGAATAGGAGGGGCAGGGATGGCTGTGGCTGTGTCACAATAGGGAAGGTAAGAGCCTAGGCTTTTAGGGGTCTCACATTTGACCAAACAGCTGACGGTACAGAGAACTAAGATAGTTGTCACGTAGAACAATATGAAGATGATCTTATGCATGATGTGGGATATTGGGGAACACAAGGAAAAGCTGAAGGATCCTTGAGATGAATTAAAATAGGCATGGCATGGGTGGGAGTGGAGGTGTCTCAAACTATGGGATCGACCAGAGAAGAAGCGAGTCTGGAATCTGCATGAAATAGGCCCTGTCTGGTCTGTAAAGGCATAGGTTGGCTGTCAACACCCTCTATAGAGACTGAGGACTTAATATAGTGGCCTGAAAACTCAGGAAGAACCCTATACATGGCCTCTATGTCCACAAGTATAGAGAATGTCTTACCTGAGACCTCTAGTGGGGTTTGGGGCTCTGAGAAGAACACCTGAATGGGGGCTGTGGGCCCCAGCCCTGTCAGTCTTCAGCAGCAAGTCCAAGCAGATCACTCAGCGATGAATCCGGCGGTGATGGCATTTCTTGCGAGGGCAAGGAATTGGAGGATGGCTTACCTACTCTTGGTGGCTAGGACAGTTGCTTTTTAATGGCCCTGGGGCAAGGCCCCAGAGGAACTCCGGGATTGGGGCATTCTCTTCCTTTGCACTGCATTTGAAGCATGGTCCAGGGGGGGCTCAGGCAGCTCCATCTTGTGTTGGTTTACCTGTCTCAGAGCTCCAAGTGTCACTGCTAAAAGATCAGATTGTTATTTTTTATCTCTGTTGTTGAAAACACAAAAAAACATATTAAGAAGGTCTTTTTGTGAGGTTTGAGGGCCAAGTTTAGCCTTTTGTCTTGGGATCTGGCCCACAGTGGAAGGTATCTCTAGAATCAATTAAGTATGCAGGAGTCAAATAATACAATCAACAGGGTATTTATGATCATACCTTTAATAATGGCTTCCCATAAGGAGGATAAGGTCCAGGGAATTTTAGGAACTGACATGTCATTTATTTGTCATATATAAGTATCTCTTTATGCTATTAGAATGTCTGCTTTTTGGAGGATGGCCTGTTTTATTAATTTTACCTTTTTATTTAGGAGGGAGACCACTTATGGTGTCATTTAATGCCAGTTGAGTATGGCTAATTATGGCTGGGCAGAGGGCTGAGCCAGGGCCGGTGGACAGGCTGGGAAAGGTTCAAACCTGGCCTCTGCCCCAGTGCTGGTCTCAT